AAAAAAATGGAATTTATTCAAAAAAAGATTAAGATTTAGAAAAGAGATAAAACCAGAAGAAAAAATAAAACAAATACGTTTAAAAAATTTGTTATTTTTTTAGAAAGTCGTTTAGAAGATGCGACGCGATATTAATCACGGTTTCACCGAAGGTTGTGCCGAGTGGAGTCGATAGATGAGTAGTCATCGCTATATAGGGACCTTCGCTGTGAAAACCCTCCAGGACTTGTCATATGCTTGAAAACTAATTGTTTTCGAATTCTCTATTTTTAATTAAACCATGTATTGATGTTTCATGTGGTCTTCCTTGAGCCATCCGATGGTTGGCACACGACCAGATTTAGCGGCAGCATAACCTCAAAAACAGAAATCTTTCACACAATACAAAGTACAGCTGTCACATACAAATGTGGTCCAAGTCGACCGTGAATTAAGGGTATCCGAATCTAGTCTGATCCAATTCTTCCGATGTTTAAGTCGCGAGTGCGCTTTCATCGCTAGTATGTGATCAGCAATCGATCAGGACAATTTGGCATAGTTTGCATGCGCTAAACCCAATCTTCATTTCGTAAGTCCAACTGCTCATTTAGTCGCTGTTCAACTTTATCTCACAGATAGGGCTCAGGTAAGGGTCCAGTATAAGACTGGGATGATGAGGCAGACTTTACTAGGTCTTTAATGGAATTCTTGGTATACTCTCGTCACACGCCGGAATACTTGTTCAACGTCATGTTCAAAAGATAATAAATTTTACATGCAAATTTAGTTATATGTTTGGCATCAATTGTGAAAGGACCAATTCTGATACTTTTTCGCTTTGCCAAATAACTGCAATTTTAGGCTATTTTGTCTCGCTTCATAGACATCTTTGAGTAGCCATATTTGCGACAGTTTCAATGTTGTTTGTTGCATCAACTAAGATAAGAGGTCACCGTTGCTTCTGTAACTAGTTTGGATTTCACGAGATAAATTGCAAAGCCAATCGTAAACGCTGAGTAGGCTGTCAGTGGCCACAGTTAGACAAGGCAAGAATTTTGGAGCAACCTACTCTATAGAATCAGTGGGAGAAATGTCAACCATTTCAGTCGGCGATGATATTCAAAAACGGGCCAATTGAAAAGAATAGTGGAACTCGGAAGTTGATCCTCTCGGCAAATACAGAACCTGTCGCTCGTTCGATTGCTTTTAGAAAAAACCCAGTTGGCTGCTGGTGGTCTTACTCAGTAAGGAATCATGCGAAAAAGAGAATGGGCTGTTTGATATGCGAATCGTGTATAAAGATTTCTTACAAAAGCACAGTATCGACATGGAGGAAATTCTCGAGCCGATAGCTCAATCTATCTATGCTCCGTGTGGAGACCAGGTGCATCAATTTGACGTGATGACGATGTATCTTAGTGCGATGATATTTTATTGATGTAGCCGAATGAGTACATCGACAAACATCACACAGACTAAGTTTGCCATCTCAAGTGCTTGCTTTACAGTCTAAATTAGCTGCCGCGGATACGAATTTAGATCATTGCCAAATTAACATTCAGACTAGGTACAGGACGGCGAGACTACCAAGGCAAGATCCTTATGGCCATATACGTCGTCGATCTTATCCATGCAGGTACCAATGACGAGTTCGTCATGTAAGCAAGGAGATCACTCAAAACATTATTTGACTTGACGAAATTAAGTCACCTCTAGCACTTTCACTGCATTGAAAGAGAGCAAGATACGTCAACTCCAAGTGTGTCGGTGAGTCAAAATGATAAGTAAAAATTGTTTGGCATGGAAAAAAGTAATCGCCTTAAGATCCGAAACTCAAGCTGATCAAAGTCATTAAATTGTAAGCAGAAATACTTATAGATAATGTACTGTATCGCAATACAATTAGCTATTCGGCTTACCTACTTTTCGGCATACAACTGGACCTCGCTGCTGCAGTGAGATATCTCAGCTACACGGTGAACCCGTATCCTACACAGGCAAGCTTCCAAACACGTGTTCTACTACGAAGACACGCAGCATTCAGATTCAAGCAACGGAGAAAAATACAATTCGAGAAGATTGTGTTGGCGACCCTGAATCTTGACGCGGTTCAAGTAATTACGCGGTAGTGATGAAACCGATTTGTATTGGCTGGAAAGCAAATGCCGCGTTCGTGACTGTGATGGGCGGCGGTTGAGTATATGCACTGACGGAAGTTACCCAAGAAGCAATCCGGCGCAATGCATTCAGGTGTGAGCTAATATCATGATATATTTTAAGAGCTTTTGGAGGACAATCAAGGCTCTATCGCGCTAGCTGAAAAATCCGTACTTCACGAGCGTATCAAGAGGCACCATCACTATGAGCGTAGGCAGGTAGCTCCTGTCCAAGAAGTGCTACAGAAGTTTTGAACGAAGCATACGAAGGTTGATCGGATAACATATCCAATTACATCCGAGCAATTTGGTATTTTTGTAGAAAATTTGGGATCAATCATTAAAGGCTACGGAGTTGGGTGGTAGTGCTAAAGATTTGACTTCGCGACCAGAGCGATAAAGCAACAGCCGGGCTATAATTCACTGAATTATCAAGTCAAAGCAAGCTTTATTTTATATTCAGTATTCAATAACAGGCTCAAAAGTAGAAATCAATTGTGTATACTTAAAATTTGTTTGGACTCTAAGTACTTTGCCATTTAATGTTTGAGTAAAATTTCGACAGGTGAGACTGTCTGTCGCGGTCTCTTGTGCCAGCTTCGACGAAGACGGGTGAAGGTTAGAGACAAGGTGGAGAACCCAATCATGAAGTTACTTATAATGGTCCATTCCTGTCATTATATAACGGTACTAATGAGTTTGCAATATTGTGTGAAGCGCTGCCCTTGTTTTGCATTTGAAAAGTTGCCGATTCAAGAGCGGTATACATCGCACAAATCAAAAATATTGATACATCACTAATTTTACACCGAAATGTATCCGGTCAACAGGCGAAGCGTCCTTACAAATGTGACTACTTCGATGGGGAGTATAAGTGACTGAATTTCGCAGAAGTAGTCTAAATATAATACGATAGAGCCACAAAGCGGAGTTGCATTGAATAAACGATCCAGCCATCCGCACATAGCTGCTTGAGTTCACAAGTGAATGCGAGATTTCTACAAAAAAACTTGGTCAAGTATACTGTCTCAATAATCTTATCAAATTTGCCATGTGATATCTTTGTATCTGTTGACCTTTCCTGAAGCTCACAAGGTCCCTTGCCATGTAGCGGTTCCATGCTAAATGGTTGTCACCGTGGCTGACGTTTTCTTGTTATTTTCTTCATGCGCGTAAGACAAGTCAGATTAGGATCACTAACGATGTTAACGTGGTCTGAACAGCTGCGTCACATTATGTGAAGTGTCGCGGATTGACGATCTTTTTATATTCTACAATGCAATACATTCAGCACCTAGGCAATACACATTGCTGAAAGCTTTGGACTCCAGCCAACTGGGTCAGATATGTTCACGTAGGCCAGGAAGAAAAGTACCGGCCCCAAAGCTGACAAATCGTTGTTGCCATTACTGGAGCTCTAAAATTATATCTGTGACGTGGAGTGACCTCATTGTTGGCTGCTGTTGCAAAGACTTCTCCGCATTTCGACGCCCATCCCTTTCTCGAAAGAGATAGTGTGAACCCAAAAGAGCCTTTCCACTCAGCTCATTCAATTCGTTATAATGACTTTCACACGTATAGACAGCAAGCATGTTAAATTTAGTAGCACTCGTAGTCAATCTAACGACCAATTCGTCGACGGAATGTGTTTTCTCTGAGGATAGAGCACAAGTTATTTGATTATCAGCGCCAGACACATTTTTAAAGTCTATCGACTATGTCCTTGTCCAGTTCAAGACAGTCCCATTGGTGTCGGATTCTTCAAGTTGATGGGCCAGCAGAAACTTGAAGTTAAATATGGCGAATTGGCAAGCTGTCAGCTTAAAGCTTACTAAGAGCTGCTAGTCCAGTGATACCGATAAAACGTTCAAGCTCTATGAGGCATGATCTCGCGGGGCATTTGGAAGCGTACTACAAAGGCAGCCTATAACGCTCTGGAAGAAATTCTTCTGTATGCCACAGCGATGGTCCTCGTGAATTTAGATCGGCCAAAACATTTTGGTATTCTCAATGTCTCGGCGTGCTATCGATTATTTTTGACAATCGCTCGTCGTGCGCAATTATTTTAACCCGTTCATTATCAAAGATATCTTAGCTCCCAAGAACACCAAATCACGCTTTTAACGCAGAGTTACGATGGTTTTTTAGCATATAGTATGACGTTTGTCTCTTCAAGTCTTCCTTTTGGAGTTGCGGATTCCTTTAATGTAAGCAACGGTAAACAAAGCTTAATAACAACTGAACTGAATGGGTCAGTGGCGAGAAAGAATTTTTAACTCAGATATATAGTCACCGGTGGAATATTAGTGAGCCTCGAGAGATATCGTTGAGAGGGGGAATCACTGATCTGTACGGTTGGGTCCGGGGAGGATCTAGGCTTTTTAATCCGTCATTGATTGGTCCTTAAGAATACGTATAAAGGCCTATAGGCAAGAAAGCTCGCAAAAATGCTACGTATCCGTTTTATCATTTGAAGACACATGCAAAGGAGAAACGCTTCTTCGTATACAACACGTAGCTACTATGATCATGTAAAGTTCAAAGTACACCAGCTTGGATCTCAGTCGTTTGCAATACATACAGATGATGCGAAGTTTAGCACAGCGACGTCGTTATTACATATCTGGAAGTAAGGACAAGATGGGTTTTTTCCTTCACTTATCAAACCTTGAGGTAATGTATAGGTCAAACTTGTTTAATTAGGCAGCAAATGTGCTTTTGCGTCGGCTCTACCATAGTCTGTCGCAGGCCGGGGTGGTAATATCACGCATTAATGAAATATTTGAAAGCGTACGGATCAGATGCAATATGGATTGCGCCGCTGAAAGTTTAAAAAGTAGAGCGGTTTCGAGCTAAAGTGCCGCCTCATTAAAGCGTTGATTTACATGTTTGTACCTTATTCTTTAGAGACTTGCTACATTACGGTATTGGTATTAACTCAATCGTTGGTCATATCTCATGACAAGGACGTCGAGTGCAAAATTCTGAATGAGAGAAAGGACACTTTCTTAGGTGTCCACCTCAACGAGATACGACTTATGACTCTGAGCGCTGTGTACTAGTGGATTACTATATCATGTCCAAAGGATAGCAAATGTGACAGCCCAGGAGTTAGCAGAGTTTATTGTTCGCCTGAAGGAGTCTACCACTCATTAATTTTGCTGATCAAAATCCCCCGGGAACGCCTCGGCCAGTGTATGGAGGAGTACAATCTACGTCCAGAGTAATATCGCGATATGCTAAGCATTCAGGCCATCAAGAGAAGTGTCACAGAGAACATATTTTTTCCAGACAAGATAGATGTCCACAGATTTTGTATACTCCAGATGGAGCGTCAGCGCGATGCGCTAGCGGTCTCTAAGCTAGAGACTTGTGCACAAGAATAAATTTTCATATATGCCTGAGAAGGAAAGGCCTTATCGACGTTAAATGAGTCTGATCGGCAAATGTTACAGTGTACGCAAAGCCAAATAGGATAATGTGTGCTGTTTAATGTTCGATTATCAAAGGATACGAGAAAAGGCAAAGTATGTTCAATCCATATGAGCGTTAAAAAAATTGGAATGAAAGATTGCCATCTTGCAGAAGAGGTACGATTCTTTCTTCGGACATAGTCTCCGTACCAGTAGAGATCCAAGAAGGGATTGTGCGTCTTCCGGACCTCTTTTAAGGCGGCGATGGCGTTGGATCAAATGTGGAGAGAAACTTCCGGGCATCAAGGACAAATTTGTGCTTCGGACGAGGAGGCTGTACCAGCCAGCCGCTATATATGGACATTGGAGGGAGAGATTGCTCCTTTTACTGGTAAACAGCACCGTGGTGTTCGCAGATGCTACGTTTTCCTGTGGAAGATGAACAAGTTTTGAATAAAAAACCTGTAGAATCGTTAAGGAAACGCACGTACTGGATCATCAATATATTCGAGGCCTGCATTTACGTGACTGATAATCTTGAGACCTCTTGTCTCTCGGTTGTGTAGTGCAATTTATTGAGCTTTAAGCCATAATGGACCAATCACTTTAAAGGGAAATCGAGCTTGATCAATCGCAGGGCGGTCTACTTGGAACGACCTTGTGGAGACTCAATGCATGTAAGGGTGCTGAGCTCTCAAAGACGCGACACTTTCTAAGATACATAAGCCTTGCAGCATTCGTACTCCGAGCTTTGAATATACGAGGAAAGACTACGATAGACGTAGCAATTTTGTGCAGATACATGAGACAAGGTTTTCTCAAAAGTGTAAGCGGGTGCATCTAAATTGCTGAATACTACAGCCTAAACTTGTATTTCTGATTATATCTCTCTTTAAGCATATAATGGCTGGAAAGCCATGAGCCATAGATCCGCGGAAAGTCAAATACATTAAATTACCGCATGGCTCTGTCTAACTTGAATTTCTGGTAGTATCTACTAGAAAAAAAGAAACAGACTTTAGTGCTGAGCATGAGAAGGCCTAGTATAATGTGCAACCATAATGCAGATAAGCTTGTAGAAGTAGCAGTGAGCCGCGGTGTCAAGCTAAAACGAGAAGTAGCGATCGTGTATCGCGGTCTTCATATTGTATCTCTGATGATACAGATAAGTTCTGCTGTGAGCTGCACTCCCAGGAACTCGTTCTGGAAAGACAAATAAAAACGATCGGAGGTCGCAGTATCCGGGATGTAATCCTGGCTAGAGACAGTGAGCTATAAGCCCCAAAACTGACAGTCAGGCTGCGTCGTGACCAGCAATGATCCAGCCATTCTACGAGGCGGCGGTTCAGCCGAGTCTGCAAAACTGACTGACGTGCTCGTCGTCTAAAGCATTTAGCTTTTACGGTTTGCGGGAAGCAAGTTTATTCAATCGCAAAATGGGCCTGGTAAGGAATGCACGTCTGCCCTCATTACCAATGGAATAGTCTTTTGCTGATCATGAAAGGTCATATCCGAGTTGCAAGACAAAGATATTTAAACTGGTATCGAAGGAAGAGCTGATCTTATCGCCATCATGGACGTGTCCGTTATTGATTGTCCTGGTAGTAGAGTATTTTTAAGTGTAAAGGGCAAAACTGTAATTCTTATCCCTTGTACATTGAGCACGATACAATTGTACAATATTTGCATCGCACTTGGTGTAAATGTGCATATTTGAAAATCGATATCAAGGAGCTGATGGCTGCATGTCAGAAAATCAAGAGAGCTATGTTGTAAGAGATAGTAAAATGTATGGTTAAAGTAGTAGCCGAAGTCATCGTAATTATCGTTAGGCTCTCAAATTCGATCCGGGTAGAAGCGCACGACTCAGAGCTCCGTGCATAAACTGATGCGAATTCATTGAGTCAAAGCTTTCTCTTTGCAAGTAGCACGGCAAGTCGGTTGCATTAGAGCGAAGCGTAACGTTGACGTACAACTTGCCCTGGCAATTCTAAATATAAGATCTGTGCTGGTCGTATTTATAAAAAAAATTGCCAGATAAACAGAAAAATAAAAACTATATACCAGATTTCTGAAAAATACCTAGTGTATATCACTTTGAGGATAGTTTTGTATATATATACATGTATACATCTCCCAATGAAATAAAGATAAAAACTGCCTCACCAATCAGGCTGTTACAGTGAGAGGACGTCATCACAGGGAAAGACATGCTTTGGAACCCTCAACCACAGAGCAAATAAGTTAAACCTCACTGACTCTCAACGGTGGGATATGAACCTACGATCAAATCTTTCTGCTAATAGCAAATATGGACATACACTTACTATTTTTACCATCATTGGTGTTCGTGGGAACTTTACGCTACTCCATGTGCTCATGCACTCATAGCATCAAAACAACTCATGATGCTGGAGAATATTATCACTCTACATGGAAAATATCAACATCAGCAGCAGCATATAGCAAATATCCAAGTGAAACAATTCTACAATCAAAAATTCTTTGTCAGTGATTGCAAGCCTCTTCAAATTTTGAAGAAGCGTGGAAGACCAAAGAAGAGTCATATTTCGTCACAACAGGCGACTGCTCAGCGTATAAAGAAGCAGGTTTATAGATGCGGTGTTTGCAAAACTGTGGGTCGTTGCTGATACAGCGTAATCTTTATGGTTGTCGGTAAATTAGTTTTATGTTAGAGATTATTTTCTAGGTCACTTCCGGAAAATATAATGATCTTTATGCACAATTCATGTATACATGTGTATATACATAACTATACTTACACTTGTTATATCTTATTTTTCAAATATTTGGTATATTGTTTTTATTTTTCTAAAAGATTTTTTTATTTTCCCTTATAATCATTATATTTAACGTCTCAAATAATTGGATATCACTGAGCGATGTACGTCAATAACAGCGAAGACGAACTTTCATGAGGGGAGCTCGTCGGACAAACCTCCCCAAACCATACCTCTCATGCTTAAGTATAGATGAAGCCTTATAGCGATATGCGTGCGGTTTGGGTACGACGAAGCCGAAAGTTGTCGACAAGCACCAGCGCTTTTAAATTTTATCAGGAAAAAATCAGAGAATCGGTCGGTAAGCCCACAACCCAGAGAACACCTAGCACGGTCCGCATTGTTCTATGAAAGACCTCGCAAGTGTATGTACAATTTTGTATGAGTTCAGATATGTAACATTTCGGTATTGGCATTCGACTGAGATCTTCTACGCTCGAGACTTGGCTCCCACTCTCTTCAATCGAAGCCAAGCGAAAGTTCTGCTAGAGCGATAATGTACTGCTTTTGCTATGTATAATCCGATTTAAATGAGATTCTATGGCTCTTTTGTTAGGTTATCGATATCTTTACAGGCTGCATGTCTCTTGATTATGCTCTTCTATATACAAACACAAATACTTTCAACGTGGTTTCAGAATCAGCCGAGTGTCTTCTCCAATTCTTAATAAATTCTTTGGATATGGAGAGTGCACATAAATAAAGCTGTACTACCTGCAAAATGTATTCGACTGGTAACCTAATTCTAAGGGATGGACAAAAGTATTTTTCCAGCTGAGGGCTCGCATTGCTCATACATCGGTATAAAAGCAACGAAAACGTATGTCCTGTCTTTTTCATCTAATCTGTTCAGCAATTTCAAATCTAATTCTCCAACTCTAAATGTCTTTCTGGAAAGGACAGGAATATCCTGTGACTGCTTAGTAAAGGCACGTCAATAGATTCTGCCCTTTTTTCTGGTAGCTAGTATAGAATCTGTTGGATTAAGGAGGTGAATGGACAGAGCTTCCTCTTTTGGAGGCACAGATCGAGCTCTGAATATGATTATTATAGAGCTGTAGAACTTGATTTTATGTATATTTGATGTGCTGTTGACAATTCTGACTCTATTTCGATCATGTAGCCAAGAGACATTTTGTGTGCGCCTATCGATCCGGACCACCAGCAAGCAAATCCAACGTGATCCTTCGGCTTGCAATGCGTTCCAAAATTTAAAAGTCTCAGCAAATGAAAATGTTCTCATTCTCTCATTTCCTTCGACTCCAACAAACTACTTCCTACACCTATCAAGAATGTTTCGCACTACTGTCGCTGCTGCTGTCGCTCTCGTCGCTTTGACCAGCGCTCCTTTCGTCCAATCTCACGATGACACGGAGCAAAAAACATCTTGTAGTGACACATCATCGAATCTCAAAGTCGGTGAGTACTTTAAACCCAGTGGTGACCAAGTCTCTGGCGTGTTCAATAACACTGCTCCATTCCGCCGTGGACCGTGTCCCGGTTTCAACGTGCTTGCTAACCACGGATTTATCTCACGCAATGGCCAAAACATTTCAAAAGCATCGCTTGCGGCTGTATTTTCTAGCGTTTATAACGTTGCTGAAGAATGGACAGTCGCACAAATCGGTCGCTTGCCGGATGTTTTCAGCCTTGACTTTCTCAGTCGAAACGATCGTGATGCTTCCTTCGCTCGCGATGACCGATATTTCGGTCGTGATCCGGCTGAGGTGAACGTGACTCTTGCTCAGAAATTCCTTGACCGTGCTGACGCCGATGGAAAAATCACGCTGGATGCAGTCGCTCACGCTCGCATTGATTTCGCGAATATGTGTAAGGCCATTAACCCAGAGTGCAACTTTAATGCTACGATTGAGGCTACAGCTTTCCGTCAGGCAGCTCTTTTGCTAACAGTTTTCGGTAAGACAGACTTTATCTTAGCCGAACACGTCAAGTCATTTATGGTCAAAGAGACAATCCCAACTGATTTCGTCAGGTCGGCGGTTCCAGTGACGACTGCGGCCTTAAACGCGACGTATTCCAGATTAGTTGAAGCGGCCAAGTAGGTTAAACACCTCAGGTATTTCGATTAACAATCGTAGCGAATCATACCAACTTTTAAACAATCATATGACTCCCTTTGCTTAATCAGGTGTGAGAGTAGGTGGTTTTGAATCTAGTACGAGATCAAGGTACTTAATCAAGTGATACACTATCACCTTTACGATCATTACCTCCTTGGCAATCTAGTAAAAGCTAGAACTTTATGACTCAATCCTACATCTACTTTTGGTAAATGTACCTGACAAGTCAATGCTTAAGTTATACCAATAATTTTATTGCCTTCATCAATCGCAGAAACGACTATCTTTGTTAAGTAAAATAAGGTTTCTGTCCGCAATCAACTCCACCTTTCAGCAGGTAATGACAATATTTGTCCTCAGGACACGCGGTGCTATTGACACAATGAGCAGCTCCGTTCGCATCATCCACAGCATCCGGTGGCGCACAAATGCAATTTTCTTCTGCTCCATGTAAACAAAGACACATAAACTCTCTTTTACAAATTGGCGAGTCACCAATTTTCCTCTTAAGCTCCGCTGCAGGGTCGCAAACGCCCCAAGGCTCAACAGCCGTCTCCTCGATCAAAAATGGATTGCTTCGCATGGTGCTAGGATCGTATATTAAGCACGACGGGGCATCGGCATACATCTCTTGGCCGTTTTCCATCCTGCACACAAAGTTCTTGCTTGCGCACATGGGATAAGAATTGTCGGGATAATCACAGTCATCTCCATCCGCTACTACGTGAACAAAGTACTTGACACGAGGCTGATGGGTAGCCATTTGTTTGACGTCATCTTCATTCCCCAGAGCAGCAGAGTTTACGGCCGCTAAACTGGATGCTACAGATAAGAGGGTCAAAAGCTGCATGACACTGACTCGTTACGCTGTCGGACGGTCTCCACACGGTTCTCTCTACTGACTATTTTAATCTGCTGTCTTCCTTTTTATCGCACCTGCTTATAATTACTTATGTATAGAGTATGATTACAAAACTGGGGTGCAAAACACTGGAAGTATAAAGCCAGAGGATACTGATAACTGGCAAGTAAAGTCAAACTGTGAATAGCAACTTGAGTTCTGCTGCAGTGAAATGATGACAGTGGCGTCGTAGTGTTTGACCTTCACGTACAAAACGCTGTATCGCGCGACGTTTAAGTGCATCTAGAATAGATTAGCTTAGTCGCCTATGATGCCATCTTAACATTATATTCGGCATTTCCTAACATACTTCTTTGACAAATGTTTAACTCACTGAGTTTCTCGTCTGCGTCCAAGAAAGCAGTGCAGTATAAGAAGATTTCGAGCTCAAGAATATGAGAATAATTTTACTAAGCGCTGCGCATATTATGATATAGCATTTATAAGGATAGCTTTGCACGCCTTTATCGTGGCTCCTGGTGTCGTGGGTTTTGATGCGCTGGAAAATCGAACTTTATCTTCTTTTGCTGAACGTACACACCTAGGCTTTCAAGAGGAGAATGGCAAGAAAACATGATCAATTATCATGATGAGTACTCGTACGACACTGGGAGTGATCGTAAGAGATGGGAGTGGCTCTCATGATGGAAAGGTTCAAAAGACAAGTAGGCTTTAGCAGATGTTGCATCATGGATAGTATTACATGTATTAGGAATCGCTTTAGGATAGAGTTTTAAAAGGGACGACCAGTGAGTCCACTCATACAACATTGATTGATGTGGACTCTGGTATCTATTGCTTTCTCGATACAAAATGCACCGCAAACCGTTGCACTAAAGAGCGCTGGTCGCGAATCCGACGACTGAGGAAAAATAATTCCTGTGTAGAATATAGAATGAAATTCTTTATGCGGTGCAACAAGAACACTTGACTATATTGCTGCGCACTTGGCGCATGACGGTCAAACTGTTCAAGATAAAATCATCGAGCTCTACGAAGTGTAGCCGTACTGACATACCTAAGCCATTAAGTATCGACTACTAGCACGGAGCCTCTGTGTGGAGGCGTCAGGAACTCTCCTGAAAGATGTGAGAATGTTAGAGGCGTGGAGTGCTTCGCTTAACGAAAGCCTATTGTATGGAAATAAGTCGCTTTTTCGGTTGCTTTGCGCATGTGCTTTAAGCAATAAGCTGCATCTCGCACATGGAGAATAATCCCCTGCGCAAAGTTGAAAAAAAAATCGGAAAGTCCTAAAATTGTGATTGAGTGCTCACAATAATTCGATCCTAATAAATTCTCAGAAACTTTCCAGGTGTATAAATTACTGCATTTTTTAAGTCCAGAGTACATAAATGTTTTGATAAGTGGACAAGTGATAGGCATTGATGGGATCGACTCGACACATCTCACGGTGGCGATTGCCATTATGCCAAACGTCTGTATCACTTTCATCTTCTTCACATGTGTCACTACGTTATCTTGACGAATTCGTGGGAAAGTTGCAATGTGCTTCTGATCTCCTACAGCTTGAACTTTTCCCAGACGCGAAAGAGATCACGGAGGTAAATTGATGACTGAGAGAGATTCGACTCATTAAATGCTGACGAAAAGTTAATTTTAGAGCATGGCACTGTTTAATGCTGTCCGACGGTATATTGCACCCACATCCAAATCTAGAAAAGTTAATGATAAACCTGATGGAATTATTGTCGTTGGAGACGGTAGCACTCGTAAGTGAAAGAAGTAACGATCATTGTTATTATGTTACGCTGGTTACATTTGTGTTTGTGTAAACAGCACGTACAGCTGCAATGTTTGCCTATCGAATGCAAGGATGGAAATGCTATAGTGTAGATCCTGCAATGGATACGGGAACAAGTGAGGTTTGAATTCATTTGAGTCATATTTGAAAGTATAAAGTCAAAGTTAAGACTTAGTGTCTGTGCCTGTAGCGGTCGAAACGTTGGGCAGAAGTTTCGAATCTGATCATTGTGCGAAATAAGATTGAAAATGTTCGAATTTCGTTAAAGCGAGTGATCTTAGTGTTAGTGCACGCACATGTTTCACTTGACCAAGCGCTGAGTGCTGTAGAAGCTGAAGAGATTTGTGGTGTCGTGACGATACCATGTTGTAATTGGTATGGATTGCAGGAGACACTTTTTGGAAGAAAACCAGACCTTGTGTATGATGACTTTAGTGTTTTGTCAGATCATCGTGAAGTATGGTGTGCTTTTGATTGAAACTCTGATAAAGTGCTTATAGCTAAATGACTTGCTGTATGTAGATTCGCTTGTGGTTTGGTGATCGATCACATCACGAGATTGGAAGCACGAATGCTACTCATACAGATCTTACGCTGACTTCAAATGTCATGAAAGGCTGTATTCGTAAAATTTTCGTAGAGAACGATGACATACTATCCAAAGAGACCATTGGAATGGATATTGAAAAGCTTACGAAGCGACATGATGGAGTTCTCGACTTTATAAGCAAAATCCTGTGTGAAACCTCCGATAATGATGTTTCTGTAGATAATAGAGCCAATGAAGACGCGATTGGTAATAGTTTGCGATCTGCTATTGCGTCACATCTTCGTCTGGATGCTTCTCTTCTCGTACTTGATCAGCATTCCCAATTCTCTACTGTTCATTTGTTATTGCAAGAAGGATATTCAAATGTGTACATCATTTCCACAGCTAATAAGCTGTCTTTAACCATGCAAGGTGAAATTGCATTCAAGACACTGAAGTTGCAGCTCTCCAAGGCTACAATGCATAAGGAATCTGCAACGGGAAACGTGAATCTTAGGTATAGACCTTGTGGCTATTTTGTTCTCCAGTCATCTTTCACTTTCACAAACATTGGCAAACAAGTTTCAAACGAGGAATTGATCACCGTTACTTTCGACAATAATGGTCAACCAGCTCTTTCAGCTGCATGTCTGTTAGACATGAACGCGATATTTCATGGATTTCGTGGTCGATCGAAGAAAAATCCATCGTTTTTTCGCCATTTGTTCTGCACTTTGGACCAGCTCGTGTCTACGTGTAGTACTCCCTCACTTGAAATAGCTAAAAGTGCGTCACTGGTGTGCATTTCACCGCGTAAACAGTGGCGAAAACGGGAATATTTAGCTCATGCAGATTTGGGGTATGATGTACATTCTCTAGTTGTCACGACAAAACAATGTTCAGATGCACCAATGTACATTTACTGTTGCAACAAACGCTCGACGGAATCAAGCAGCGTACCAGTTGCCAATATTGAAGGCATATACAATGACTTGAGTGCTCGCGATACTGCTCTTATAGTCTGGCGTGAACAGGAAGAAAAGTTACGCAAACGACAGTCTGAACTATTAGCAGCTAAACGTCTCGCTGTTGTTGATAATGCTGATACACGTATGACAGTCTTACGTGATCAAGAACAAGCAGATGCTGTAGCTCGAGAGACTCAAGCTGAACCAAAGAAAATATACGTTCAAGTGGTTGGTACAATAAAGCGAATTCGTAGCTTCAGTAAAGGCATGACCTTCCTTTCGATCATGTTGGATGATTGTGGGGTTGATAGACCGCTACAGGCATTTTTACAGAGTGACACGATGGGTTTGTCTCTTCCTTTATTTGCTAAAGTGACAAAACTTTTAAGAACTGGAGACAAACTAGTTGCAATTGGATTTATGACTCGCAATGCTCATGGACACTCGATGCTACAAATTGAAGCAATTTGTTTGAATCAGACTGGGAAGTACGAAGCGTATAACTAAACAGGTAGCATAATAAAAGTTTTGATATGAATTAGGTCTATTGGAAATATCATGTTAGGCATTAATTTTCAAAAAGTACGATGCGCAAAATGACAAAAAACAGTTTATTATTCAGCCAATGACAATTTTCAAATGCGAAACGTTCCAATGACATGGTGAACGTCCCATTACACTGCGAAGCCACAATGACGTTTCATATCATCTATAGAGTCTGTTCCCATTTAAATTCCGCCTCAGGATAATATCCCGAGCTCCATCGTACTATCATATCATATCGACAGCCAAAGTCAGCCGTGATAAGCTGTATTTACACATTCAATTTTTGTGAAATGTGCAAGTGCTTATTACACTTTTGTGCAACTGACTAAGAGGTACGAAGGTTCTGGTATGATTTGTTGATGAGGACGGTGTGACATCGTAACGGAGGGATCCTGACGCTCGGGACGCGTTGGCTGCTAACCTTATGTATTCAGTTCATTTTATTATTGAGCGTCGTATTAAGTATGAGTCTAAATTGAATTCAACTCAGCTCCATATGTATCTGTTACCTTGGATCCTCTCTGTTACCACTCCTGGGTGGGGCGAATAAATCCATTCTCTGTGCTAAAGTCAACGTGAGCCGAATCAAAAACATCTATATGCAAGGTGCATAAGTGACGCTCGTCGTCAAGTCGGTGCCTGAGTCCTATCAAACTATCTCCTTTGGTGATGCGAGCTGTTTGATTATCTGTACCCAAGACAACCAAACACGCTTTGTCTCATGTCTATCTTTGGCGCCGAATGGTACGGCGTTTGCAGCCTTCATACAAGCGTTTACAATCTTTGAGTATGCGCTGGCAATATGCCTCTAGAAATACCAAAGAAAGGCTTTTTATGGAGGTACACTTCGGCTCCCAGAAAGAGGTCGCAGAAGTTAACCGTCAATACCTTTGAGGGTAAAAACAAACTTATTGTCTGGAGAAAATCAGATTCGATGGCTCGAAGGTTGTCCACGCTCCAGACGGAGCATCATCGCGTTGCAATAGCACTTTTCAAGCTAAGTGCTGCGCATGAGAATGAGCGCTTGGGTGCAATGCCGTTAGTGAAGGCATCCCCAATACATGCAACAGATTGTCGCGGATGCCCGCAGCGCCTAATAATACATACCGTTCGCGATCAAAATTCCAGCCATCATGGGTGGCAAGATCTAGCAGACTATGCCCACATTTTTGAAATATCATCGCCGAAATGGCAACAGACCTCTCGTGGGGGCGGTGACAGTTATCATTTTCTGCAAGGGTCTCAAAGCCGATGCAGCTCCTATCGAGATCTTCGCGCATATCCCACCTCAGTATGCGTTCAGGGTCTATTAGCAGAAAAATATACAGGTCGATGTCAATGGGGGCTAGCCAAAGATGGGTGACTTTTCGATCAGAGTTGTGGCTCGCAGCCTACGATTACAGGCTGTTATCATTCACACGAAGGCTTAATAAATCCATGCAAAGTTCGGATTGCTTCAGAAGCGACATGCGATTACGTACGAGGCGTGATTCTCGAAAATATCAGATAGTGTAGAGAGGCATCGCCCATTTAATTAATATTTGAGTGTTTTGCAATGGGGACACTACTGATAGTACCGAAAATTCTGTTGAGCCTTCACGTAAAATTGAGACTTTGACAAGGCTGAACGTTGCCCCATCCTTCTTGTATTCGAAATACTCTCTCATTTTAGGTATGACGTGGCTCAAACACATTGAGCCAGGAATCAATTGGAAGTCGAAAATATTAGCTGTCACACATTTTCGTCCTGCTTAAGCTTTGGTGAGTCATCAGCCAACATTTACCAGAAAGCAGAAACGCTTCTTTCGCAGCTACGATAGCTTCTGTGCAGGACGAAAAATTGTGTAATTCGTCGGTCTAGCAATAAAATGATTGGTAAGGGCCTAAAACAGGGCTCGGAAGGCAAAAGCGACAGTGAGCCGCGGTCTCGCGAAAAAAGGTAGCTGTCAAATATCGCAACTTCTATAGAATGTCTCTGCAGAAACAGGAAAGAGCGACTAATCTGCTCTAGCGAGTAGATCAGGTGAGACGGTGAGGCGGTTAATCATAGCTATAAGATGGTGTCACCTATGCCAATACCGAGGATAGTAGAAATGACTGGACTTCGCTGTCTTCCGTGCGGGGCCTATGGAGATGAAAAGCGACCCTCTCGCTGCGGTGAGTACTCTGAGCAGGATGTGCTGGAAAGGATCACATGTACCAAAGGGATTGTCTTTCACATCGATGGCCAGGTGATGCAGCTGGTCAGGCCACATTATTGCAATAATTAATCCTTTTTCAACAAAAGACGATATAGTCATCCAAACACGGGTAGTCGGGTGTGGTCTTTTTACAGTCAAAGATCGCGGGCAAGGCTCAATTGTGTGCGCTTGAATAAGCTGTACACAGACAAATATGTTGTCCGATCGTCCTTCTGTTCAACGGTTTCGGTGATATAACTCACCTGTTGAATGCCTCAACATGGAGAATCAACCCTACTAAAAGAAATTCTTATCTGTTCATATAGTGATCTATTACTTGCGAAATGATTAGTTGTGTGTCATGCACCAACATGGCGGTTTATCAACTTAGTATGTTAAAAAATGTTTGTAAAAGTATTAGCCAATGTTAGACCAGCATTTGAGGTATATGCGTTATTATTAGTGGTATGTGTATAATATTGAGTTATTTTATTTTCAATTTTATTTTCCATAACAAAGTATTTAATTACAAAAATAGCTTAATGGTCAGGAAAACTTGATTAAATAAACAAAAAACAAAATAGATTTATTCAGACTATACAATTGACTATTTACTGACTTTGTACGTAGAGCCATAAGTGTGTACGATATAAGAAGCAAACCAAGCAGTCTGCTATCCTGTAATCAAGTATTCGGCATTGATGTAAGCTGAAACTGCATTCACACAGTTTGCAGATATGAAACTGCTTCTTTCAAATCCGTTACATTAATTGAGCGTCCTTTGAGTTGATCCCAAGAAAATTTTGAAATACAAGCAACGCTAGACAATCATGCATCAAGTATGACACCGCAACGTAATACCCTCAATTGAGCATCAGATAGTAAAAGTAAGTGACAGAATTTTCGATGAGACCCACTACAATGATGACTATTGTGACCCTGTTCTGCTTTAAATTTTGTTCTTCACGTACATGCGAATGGCTAGTCATTGCAAGAATGAAGCAACTCAGAGTATCAATTGACTTTTATTTATCAGAGATTTCCTCGAGAAAAAGATCATTCCAACAGGAAGAAGAACAGAGCGATCTTTACAAAACCAGTAGATACTTTTTGTGTTTTGAACACCCAAGCCACGCTGTATGATCGGAAAGCCCAGATGAGTGGACGTCCGCCTACCTAAAGTTAGTTTTTCGAAATGGTGAGCTAGCATCTTTATTTGAACGAAGTCTGATTCTCATTTTCACTCTTGTCTGCTTTAAGAAGATCCCTCATTGAGATCCAGATTTTTCCAACCGACTCGAAAGGCAGGCGATACCTTTAAACAGTGATGGTTTGTGGGATGAAAAAAACTCAGTGTGAGCGAAAGACTTGTGACTCTCGCCGAGTCTTGGATGAACACTTTCGCCATACCTGGCAATACACGGCTAAGTCGTTTCTGAGCGTTCCCTTTCGGTACTTAGGACCTGATGCATTCTCTTAGATATACAATTTATGAGTTTTTGCCGGCGCTGAAAAGGACAAACTAAAAGTTAAGAGTGAACTGGAAGCCAACGAAGACGATGCGTAATCAGGGTCCTTTAAGAGCACCAAATACTATATGCATTAATGTATTTGCACTTATTCTCCCCGTCATTCAGGAATCACATATCATACTTATAATCCTCCAAATTGTATTCATCTGACACACGGATGCTATCTAAGAATTATATTGTAATGCGTATACATTTGAAGCTACTACTACGAGTTAGACTCACATCACATGCCATACGTCTCTGTGTGTCAATATCTTTCATGAAAAAATAATCCTAAACGAAAATTCCTACGAATCCACGCAAGCCTTTAAGATAGCTGTAGTCTTCACGCATTAACGAACACCCAAAGCTCTTTGCAAAGAAGAGCAGCCATTCAGTCTCTCGAAAGTCGTGCACAAACGCTAGTTTTGACTCACGTCAGCCTCACTGCTCTGCACGCAAATACCAAAGTTTTTATAATCTTTACAGGTTAGACCTGTGTCGCAAACGCGGTCATTTGTGCAGTCACTGAACAGCGACGTGCTGCTTGGAAGATAAGGGGCAATGGCACACTCCTGATTCGAGCCCTTGGTACGGCAATACTTGCCCTCATCACATGATCCAATTTCTCCACTCGAAGTGGTACAGCTTTCGGCAGGGCGGCGAGCAGTGCGCCAAGCGTCTGGTGGCATGCAGTAGCAGTCGTCATTGGCTATGTCCATACAGATGCATTGGAAGTCAAAAAGACACTTGGAGGGAAGCGTCGCATTCTTTTGACTGCACTGCGCCCAAGGTGTGGTGACTTTATCATCAACTGAGGCGAGGAACGAGTCATCACGCTCCAGACATCTCTGAACACCAGTCCCATCGTCCTGACACGAGTACGACGCACTTTGGCAGAGCAAGACATTACCGCCATTCGGGCACGTTGCATTATTTGCAATGACTGTCACCTCACGGAATCGTAGATGATGATGATGCACTTTGTAGTGCGCGGCCATAGACGTGGATGCTAACAATACATGAGTGAAAAGGGACCACGACATCATTATTAGAGATCGAGTTAGAAAGTGAGTGGAAAGAGACCGAAAGGAGATCAGATCCACTTTCTGTGTCTGGAAAATAAAAGCTACTTACGTGGGGTATCCAGTGCATACGGCAATCTATAGAACATATATGCAGCTGCGATCCTGACGTGCTTCCACCCATTTTGAGTTTTATTGTTTTGTGTACCACACAGATGTTATGATATTACATTAATGTTGCGCGATTAAGTCTCACAGTCGTGAAATTTCGCTTGACTTTTAACCTAATTTTTGTCAAATCTATCTACTCTTTTACGAGGTGATGGCTAATGCGGATCGTGCATGCACTGTCGCCAGCGCGTTAGTATTGTGTAAAAGCAAATGATTTCTGAATTTCTAGCACCAGTTACAATAATAGTTCGTGTTCTGTACCAGATCTCAAATTTATGGTGTTTCGTATCGCTCCATCGACATGACGTTCAGTAATTCTCTCTATCTCCCACATGCTTATGCCGTCTTTCAAGCTGTACCTACCTGGTGCTACCGCACTTGAAAAGGGTTTAATACACAGAACATCACACTTTGATACCTCTGTATCGAGCAATTCAAGCGAGCCAGCTCGCCATGAAAGCGCCAATCTCAAAACTTTGTAGTACGTCGTGTTTTGCGGAAGTTTGCAGGAACATTGTCTGAATCTCAGAGACATTCGCAAGATTCGATACAAAATGCGGCTAAGATCGTGACATTCAGATACGATCTTGACGTGAAACAATAGGAATTATCTGGTAAGAATCGAACATATAATCCTTTGACAATCGTTGATCCAACGCGTGAGTAAGTACAGCCTCCTTTCACTTCAACTCCGCTTATCACCTCGTTCTACGTCTATCACATCACAACAAAGAATTAACTTGCTATTCGCGGTGTAATCCTTAGCAGCGCAATATATGTTGCGTCGAACCCTTACGCAGTACGTATCGCCACATATGTTGGCGACGTCACCACTGCGATAAGCAACAGCTTGTCGGGGTGGTGCGAAGGCCTCCGCCACGTTGAGCAGACGCGGCTTTTACCTTACCACGAAGGTACGCTCCGCACATAAGGATAGTCATATTGTCATTCTCTGTGAAGATGTGGTGATGACGTCGTTGTGCGCAACGACGCATGATTTGTATCGATCGCAAACGGCTTAGATCCATCCAAGTTAAATTTTACTTGTCAGGCCATATTCTATTGCATGAAGCGTTTTGTCATGAATAAAATTATTATCTTTTGCGGCTTCAAGTTGCGAGGTTCAAAACGATAACACAATCATGCCAACCGGTGTTTGCTTGGAGTACTCAACAGTAAACTGCAAAGGCTTGGACGTCACTCTATTACAACCAGCACCATTTGACTTTGATTAGTGATGAAAGATTGTGCTATGTCGGCTCAGTCACGTTGTAGTTGTGCTAGTAGTTGCCAAGCAACTTCCTACAATTATTTTGGGAAAGAAGCACTAGCTAGTTTGTAATGTGTCGAGATCAGCTCCCTTCTTCCAATTTTTAAGCCTGAAGTAAGGAGGATTACACCAAAAACACACATACCTATATTGGCGAATAGCATATCTTGGCGCATACACTCAAGCACCCGCTGCAAGTTTCAATGGGGTCTCGCATTCAGCTTTCCGTGTTCTTCAAAACCATGGACGAATCTATTTTCGAAATAGATTTTTCTGAAACCACAATTGAACCTAAAATCTCAGCATCACCAGACGATTTAGCATCGCATGTCCATAGACAGCCCCCATGGCGAAAAACCGTTAGTCCTAGAGCATTTTACTCGAGATCCTCACTGCAACGACAGGGATATGATTGTCTCTGACATGGCTTGATCACATCAATCGATCAAGTCGCGGGCTCTGAGCAAAGCTGGGTCAATCATACTTTGCTACCGCACATTCTGTCAAGATATGGGCGTTTGGCTGGAAAAGTGGCTGCATTTAGGTTATCATAAGAATTCACGCTTCACCCGATGCCATTAGACTTTCTGACAAAAAAACATTCCCAAGAATTCTCTCTCTATCGAATTCGCACATAATATAGCATTGATGTTCCCTCAGTAAGGGCTATTTTCATGTGCAATAATACTTAATTTCTAGATTCAGGCAAGTTTCATGAAGCACTTCCATAATAGGGATAACACACACGGTGAATCTCTCCTCGTCACGTCGCGATGTTCTTTCCAACGGATATAAAAGATCGACAGGATCCTTAAAGATAACTTTCTCTCGTCTCAAACCCATGACAGATTCATCCATGGCGAATGTCACGCTCAGCTCTGCCTGCGGTGCCACGCGCAAAATTTTGGTGACCTCACCGGTTTGCAATTTCTTGCACATATTTCCAGCGAATAATTCTTTCAGCTCTATACGACTTTACGCCGAAGGTGTGAGGAGATAATAGCAGCCCCAGAGATCTCCAATCACTCCTTTTACGATTGAGATTATTTCCGTGGGGCTATATTAAATCGTACGGTAGGCCGTCTTACAATAATACATAGCTGTCATATGTGGCAAGAAAGAGCCATCTTTCTTATCTTCAAGTCGTCTTGCTGCCTGCAGTTGTCCTTCAATACCACCAGCTCTAATACCCGACATTGCGATAACCAATCATTTCCTCTTTCCATTGGCCATGAAATTGGAGCCAACAGCTCATAATTACTCTGTTCTCCCCGGCCAAAGATAAACACTGAGGGCCTCAATATACAACCGACATTTTCTTGTTCAACAGAGACACTCAGGGGTCGGCGATATACCGTTGTTCGTTTATCACTCATTCTATACCGCGACTCACTGCCAATTGTGCCCTCTGAACTCTGCATGAGA